ATATATAATATATAATATATAATATATAATATATAATATATAATATATAATATATAATATATAATATATACAGCGAAGAAAAACCCTAAACCCTAAACCCTAAACCCTTACCGCAACATTAGGTTGTCTAACATCAATAAGACGAACAGTTCGGTCATAAGACGCCGTCGCCAACATTGAGGCCTCAGAGGGATGCCATAATACAGCTTGTACCTATACACCATGCAAACCCTAAACCCTAAACCCTAAACCCTAAACCCTAGGAAATTGGATGGGTCAGTATGCGAGGGTGGGGGGAAGACCCCATCTCCACTGCCATAGAATTTATCAGCATCAATTGCCCAATCCTGCACCCCCAAAACTACTAAACCCTAAACCCTAAACCCTAAACCCTAAACCCTAGGGTTTACGAACCTTGTTCTGATGGAATTTATAAGTGGCTAAACAATTGCCAGTTGTTAAATCCCAAACCTTCGCTGTCTCATCGGCACTACCACTCGCCAGAGCCTCTCTGCACGCAAACCCTAAACCCTAAACCCTAAACCCTAAACCCTAGGACCCATGCCATAGAGGACTAATGCGCTCCTTTCTCATACAGCTTAGGCAATAGTAATGTAAACCCTCAAATAATGCACAGTACGACCCTAAACCCCAAACCCTAAACCCTAAACCCTAAACCCTAGCATCCTCACGGTTTCAATGGCGATGCATGCAGCGCCATAACCGGTCCTTCATGAGCATCGGGCGTCTGCATCTTTTTATTTTTTCTTTTTCCCTTCTTCCCTGTTGCTGCACTCTGCTGCTGCTGCTGCTGCTGCTGCTGCTGCTGCTGCTGCAGTCCAAGTGTATATACAGGTTCAAGTGTATCCAATACATCTAAATCAAAAATAGAAATAAAATTGTCAAAACTTCCAACCGCAATTAAATTTTTCTTCATTTCTCCCGGCATAAGGCTTAACCACTCCAAGCATAATGGGAACCCTCCACACTGTATACACACAAACCCTAAACCCTAAACCCTAAACCCTAAACCCTAAACCCTAAATTTTTGAAATTTTTTATTTTTTTTTTTTATTTTTTATGAGGAAACAAAAACAATTATTTTCTAAAATTTAAACCCTATATTCGAATGTCTAAACCCTAAACCCTAAACCCTAAACCCTAAACACTAATTCATTGTTATCTGTCATCCGTATCATTCTCCTATCTGCCTCTCCTGATTACCTGTATATAACTATTTAGTGTTTAGTGTTTAGGGTTTAGGGTTTAGGGTTTAGGGTTTATGAATAAGTACCATGATATCATGATGTACATAAAGACTTCCTGCATTAACATCATGTACATACACCTCAAGAGTACTAAGATCGTGATCAGCAGCAGCAGCAACAAGAACTAAATCTGTATCTAATATTTTATTTGCTTCTTCTTCTTCTTTCTCATCTTCTGCTGATAAATTAACACTTTTATCCGCCAATGCTGTTGGCCCATCCGATGACACCACGCCAAACACTCCATTCAATAAACCCTCTAAAAAAAAAATATTCACACACAAACCCTAAACCCTAAACCCTAAACCCTAAACCCTAAAGGGTGAACCTTCAAAACTCTCCAAGAGAGGTATAGTGGTATATCAGCTAGGGTTTAGGGTTTGTGGTTTCATGGGATATATTCGGCAATGTTTAGAGGGTTTACTAAACCTCTAATAGTCACTGCTAACAAGGGTTTACGGTTTAGGGTTTAGGGTTTAGGGTTTACCGTCATCATCGTCAGTTTCTTCATCTTCCTCCATTCCTTTATCTGAATCTGCTTCCTCGCTCTCATCATCTTGTGCTGCTGCTTGCTGCCGCAGCAGCTTCTGCTGCTGCTTCCGCTGCTCCTTCTTGCTGCTGCTGCTGCTGCTGCTATCTTGCTGCTGCTGCTGCTGCAGCAACTCAGATATATCCTGCTCCTCTAATATACAACTACGAGGGTTATTAGAACTGCGGCCTCGAGGGACCCAACAGACGGAGCTAATCATTACCTTCTCCGCCATCTTCGTAAACCCTAAACCCTAAACCCTAAACCCTAGCTAGGGTCGAGATTGGGAGGCCGCGGACCCAACGCAGCCTTCTGGTGATCCAAGCACCAGAGATAAAAAAATACAAACCCTAAACCCTAAACCCTAAACCCTTACTTTGTTATTCCTCTGCATGCTCAGGGGTATCGGAACCGTAAGGGAGGCCCACAGGGAACCAACGAAAAACCCTAAACCCTAAACCCTAAACCCTAGCTTGTTGTATTCAATATTTAATTTTATTTTTATTTTTTAATAAAAGAAAGACAAAAATTTCTGCAGGGTTTACCAAATGGAAGGCAAAGCCCCTATCCTCATCCTGTGGGGCGGGGGGCCCCAAACCCTAAACCCTAAACCCTAAACCCTAACCCCTAGAGCACCGATGCTCAATACTATATCTAAAAATATAAATAATATATACAAATTATATATTAATTTTTATTTATTCTCCTAAATTGCTAACATCTATACGAATTCACACCCATCAACCCTAAACCCTAAACCCTAAACCCTAATCTGCCAAGTATCTCGTAGGATCTAGCTAGCTAGCTAGCTTGCAGGAGTGTTTAGGGTTTAGACAGCAGGAGAAATGTCATTGAAATAAGTTAAATGATTCTATCTAAACCCTAAACCCTAAACCCTAAACCCTAACAAGTACCTTAACTCCCCGCTATTCTTGGTAGGGTGTTCCATATAACGAAGGGTTTAGGGTTTAGGGTTTAGGGTTTAGGGTTTACGGCCGATTAATAGTCACTGAAGCCGTTAGTGTGTTGATTCTGTATTTGTTTAGCTGTCTCTTCATCTTGTATCGGTCGTCACCAATGTAGGGTTTAGGGTTTAGGGTTTAGGGTTTAGAGTTATAGGATTTTATTGTGTATTTATACAAGAAAAGGGTTTATTAATCTGCTAGTTGTTAAACCCTCACGGGTGTTTGTAAACCCTAATCACAATAAACAGCAACCCTCTCCTCTCTCCTTTCTTGCTGCTTTTCGTCTCACCTGCTGCTGCTGCTGCTGCTACTGCTGCTGCTGCTGCTGCTGCTGCTGCTGCTGCTGCTGCTGCTGCTGCTGCTGCTAACAGGCTACAAAAGAGAAAAAAAAAAGAAAATAAAAGACAAAATAAATGCAGAAAAAAAACAGCAGCAAAACCCTCAAACAGCAACAGCAGCAGCAGCAACAGCAGCAACAACATTATATTTATTTATAT